ATTTAAGCTGTTACTGCCACTGCTGCAGAGCAAACAGTTGGCCAAGAGGGTGGCTCTTGTAATCGATGCTTGTAATTGCGCTATTGAGGGCTTGTTGACTTCGAGCAGGGAAATCAAAATATTAATGAACGTATGCCAAGCTGCAGAGAAGGCGAGAAGTTGCACTTATTGAAAACTGATCTGACACAAGTGCACAGAAACCTCGGACTTCAATTAAACATTTAAATATAATGGATTATAATTTAAACTTAATTGTGACGTAATGAAATTCGCATAAATCTTATCAGTCGCATAGACATCATTATCTATGTCACCGAATTTTCGCACTGTCTATCTCGCACGGGTTCACCTGGTGACCTCGACTATCAGCTAGCCAGAATGCCTTTAAAAGAAACGCGCCAGCCGGCTGCTCCATTAGTTCTCGGCTGAAGATGATGCGATCGAATACAACTAAGTGGATTACGTTCCTGGTCATTTGGGCCACCGCGGAGGCAGGACTGGAGGGTCGTGCTCCACTATCGACATCGGATCCCAACGATGCGATCATGAGCCGACTGTTGACCTTCATGGACAACGAGGTGGATCCCTGCCAAGACTTTCAGAAATATGTCAGGGGGAATTCCGAAAAGATGTACGAGAATGGCAAAGATCTGTTGGGCGATATTTATCTGTTCGTGGAGGAACAATACATCTCCATGTTTGAAACGCTCAGCGCTCAGCAAAGCGTTCTGGACGCGGATAGCGTGGAGGCCAAGACGCTGAGCTTCTACCGCACCTGTCGCACGGCACCCAACGAATCCCTATCGGAAAGGCACTACCTGGAGCTGGTGCAGCCGGATTATCCCTTCACCAAGTCGCCGAGGAGCTGGCCAAATGGTTTGTTCAATTGGATGTCGACCCTGGCACAACTGCGACGCTTTAGTTTTGATAACCTGCTGGTCAAGATGAATGTGAAATTGAATTTGGTTGACAGCAGCAAATACGTGATTACGATAGACAAGCCAACATTTAAATACTCCCTCCAAAGGCTGCAGAAAAGCTTGAGAACCAAGCAGCTGCTGATTCGCCTGGGTGTACCCAGTGTGCGAGCCATGTCGCTGACCAGGAGCATCAGAAGTTTGGAGCGAAGGATAAGGAAGTTGGCGCCAGTCCAGGGCAAATCCTACGATGATCTGACCCTGAGAGAGTTGGAGAGCCAGACCGGACTTCCATGGCTGCAGTACCTAAACATCGTTTTCGATCGCACCTTCCCCGAAGACTTTGAGGTACAAGTCCGGAATGTGGACTATTTTGTGAAGCTGAATAATCTATTGAAAGCGTACGATGCCGAGGTGATAGCGACGTACATGATGGCCAAGTTTGTCGACTTTCTGAGGATCACAATGCAGAGCAAGGAGAACAATGGAGCTCGTGAATGTAGCTTGGATGTGCGCAACTACATGGATTTCGGTGCCACCTTCCTTTACGATAGCAAGTACACTACGCAGCTTGATGCAGAAGTCCAGAATCTTTTCAACGCGGTGCGCAGTGTACTTGTCGACAAGATCGACGCGAATATATTGAAACTGAGCCCAGGGCAGGCTGCTCAGTTCAAGGAGATCATCCAGGGCATTAATCTCAATTTGGGAAACAGGCCACGGGACCAAAATCATCGTGCTTTTGTGACCAACTACTACAGGGACTTGCAGTTGGCCAATGATCAGGACATGGCAGCTGCCCAGCTAAAGGTCTTGAGAGTCCGCGCTAGTCGTAGCCTGGAACGATTGCATCAGCCTGCAGCCAAGGGCAATGCTTACTACTTCCAGGAGGACACCCTAATCCCCGCCGCTTTCGATCCATTTTACGTAAGGAGGGAAAACTCTATTGTGGTGCCCACCCATGTCCTGCAGACAGCTTACTTTCTGCCCCATGGTCACGATGTCTTCAGGATGAGCTTCCTGGGATTCAACATCGCCCAGATGATGTTGCAGGCCTTGCTGCCCGAGTCACTGCGCTACAGTCCGACCTCCCAGCTCCTTAAACTCCGTGATTCCGAGCACTATGTTCTGGGCCTTAAGTGCCTCAATGGAACCACCACGAACACTCTGGACAAGCGATTGATCGATATGTCGGCTCTTAAACTGGCCTATGAGGCCTACTTTAGAATGGACTCCAAGTACAGCCAGTTGCAGCCCAGCTTCACCAGTCTGTCCCTGCGGCAACTATTCTTCCTGAACTACGCACACAATCTGATAGAATCTGATTTCGACACGGATTGGTTTCAATTTCATCAATTGATTTACAAATTGCCGGCCTTTGGACAAGCCTTTAATTGTCCCCAATCTACTGGGGGCTTGAATAGCTTAATCAAATGCGATATCTGGTAGTACCTACCTACTACTGGCTTTGATAATAAACGATCTAAGCGAACTGTGTCCAAAATAAGCAGGGCTTCCTAGGAAGATGCGCCATAGTCAGCGACGGGAAAAGTCCAGACTGGTGACCGTCTGGGCTTATTTGCACACTCAATTTGAGCCATTTGCTATGATTTAATTAATTGGCAGACCGTGTTCGAGGACCACTTGCAGGCGCATTGCTCATTGCTCATGGCAAATAATGCAAATCGAAAGAGTTGGGCCCAAGTGCTCGGCTCGCTAAGTGGGTCTTGGGATGGGCATGCCATCGATTTGAATGGCATTGGGTTCAACTGAAGCGAACTAATTGTGCAGAAACGAGTGCAGCTCAGCCCAGCTAGCACACATTGAATACTCTTCTCCAAAGAGTATTTTCGATTTCTTTCAAGCTCATTTTTAAGCATTTTTCCGGCTCAGTCTAACAGCGAATTCTTCAGACATTGCAGACACAAGCTTTTCCCATTTTCACACCATGCTCTACATTTAAGTGTCAGCGCTTCAATTTGCCACTGTAATACCCTATAATGCTCTGTGCAGTTTCGTTGGCGGCATGTAATTTGGGTCCACTCAGCTTGGCTCCCTCGCAGTAGCGACTATATATGGAAACCCTTCTGGGCCAGGCTATGCTATATGGCACAAATGAAACCAAATGCACGCGGCTTGGCAGGCCTTCAAGTGCCTCAACAAGTACGAGTGCTGTGTTGCAAGGGGCCCGCGGGCAATATTTTCCATTTCCATTTAATTTAATTACGCTTGTGTCCTTTGTAGTTGCATTTAATTGTGTTTCGCCTGCGCCATTTCGCAACAATAAATTGTTGCTCGCCCGGACGTTTTGACGGGTTGACTTGGCCCGCTCGCTTGTCAGTTACTCATATTTTCCATTTGCCAGTCGCACTTCTCATCCGCTCCATCTTGCCATTTCGAGGCCCTCTTCCTGTACGCCTGCTAGTCGCTTCCACTTCTCTGGTTGAGTTTGAAGTTGCCTGACCCAAAAACACATTTCATTTCTATGTATCCTTTACTTTCACTCACCCACAAACGCATAGGAAAAGGGGCTGCGGATGCAGAAAGTCGGTGGCAAGCTTTGGCATGCGGCGCAAGGCTCTTGCCGCTTCAATTGTTTCTTGTGGACCCATTTTATCTCGCTGATGCAGTCCAGGATAGGCAGGAATTCTTTATTTGAGTCAAGTCCCGGCCCCAAGTGCTCGTGTGTGTGTATGTGTTTGCGTGTGAGCCCATTCAGCCTGCAATCAACACAACGCATCCTGCAATTATCAACATCAGCCGCCTTCGTCGGCTTGTTCCACCATTAACCCTTTGACGGGCGTCCGTCTCAAATGACGCCACATGACAGGAGTGCCTTAAATCGCTTGGGGTTAAAAGGTTTTCAGGCTGCCTGCACAGCGGGGAAGTAATACATTTCCCTAGCTCTTGGATGTATGGTATTTCGGTTGGCTTAGATTGAAGTATAGCCCACTAACTTATTCTGAAATTCCCCAACTACCAAGAACGTATGCGGATTACGTGAACCTGATGGCTGCAGGAGGTTAAGCTGGATTCCCTTACAGTAAACAGCACTGCAGCTGCTGTGAGTCAAGAGGTTACTCCACTTTGTGCATCCTTAATTGCTCGACTGGCTGCCGGGACACGAGCACACGTCCACGTCCTGTTCCCGTGACACTGATTTCCAAGTGATGATGAGGAGGTGATGCAATGGAAAAAATATTTGCTTGCTTTTCTTTACGTACACATATAGTTGTTTCATCTGCCAGAAGCGGTGATTAAATACAGTATAATTAGGAGTTATGTTCAGCCTTATCCTTTATTTATAGCTCAACGTGGAGAATTTTCTTCTAGTTAATGGTTTCACTTAAAACTGACAAAAACTATAGCATACTTTTTTGGATAGCATGGCAGGTAAAGCTTTTAAAGTCAGGATAATAGGAGTACTTTTATAGCCCCATCAACTCGTTGCCTCGCCACTGGATTCTGAATTCAGAATTGATTTCCCAGACAAATAGCGCATTGAAATCCCATTACCACAATCGCTGGCCCCAGGGGATTAATGCTCCCATCATAGCCGAACTCCGGACGAGCGTAAAATTCTAGAAAATCGGCGACAGCTCAAGGAGCACTCGGGAACATTTGTGGCGCCTGCCCTCCGTCAACCCGTCTGTCTCTCCGCGTGGAGCAGCCCGCCGGATCCGGCGGACATCTGTCAGGGCGGAATATTCCGGCAAACTTGACTGCCGGCGGAAGGGAAATGCAAAAATACGTTGAAAATGGAAGGGGCATGGTGGCAAGTAACGAGGGTTGGATGCTGCTGCTCACATTCATTTACATTGCCTCCGGCCAACGAGGCGTATGCGTAACGGCTGCAAGACGTGGCATTTTTAATGCCTTTGTTTTGCATGCGGTGTAATTAAGAACACAACTTGATGCATAAATCCCAAAATTGGCAGGCAAGAGGTGCTTAAATTGCATGAAGCGTCGGATTATGCACGAGTGCAATTATGCACTTTGTTTGATTATTAATGCTGCTCCAGGCAATTGCAAATGCAGGTGTTTGAGGGTTTCGCCCAGGGAGATTTTGAAAATGGTACTCACCAAAAGTGACGCCATTCGTCTGCTTCTCCTTGTCCTTGTCCTTATCCTTGTCGCACTTTTCGCCGCCCAACGGCTCCAGCTCGATGCCATCCGTGGTGGCCACTTTGTAATCGCGCTTCGACATATTGCCACAGCAGAAGCCACAACATAACATTCGGCCAATTTTATAGGCTTGTGGTTTAAGTGGCGCCGTCTTGGATTCTCTTGCCACAGGGCACGAACCGATTTAGGGGGTATTACTACTGGGTTACGACTGATCCTGGCGCGGATGGGGCAGCAGGATCGGGGATGGGTCCGGGTTTAGGGCACTATCTCCTTCGGCTTCTTCGCTAGCGATATGTTGATCCAAAAAGTGGTCGGCACAAAAGGTCCTTCGAGTGTAAACGGGTATGTAGAAGACTAGAAAGGTCGGTGAGTAGAGTTGATTGTTGTGCTTGATTATTCGTATTTCGGTCAAAAATTGGTCCAGTTCCTGGTGTTAATGTCCTTCTGTAATTACCAAGATCAACGTAAAATTAACATATTTAACTGATACAGCTGATAAAATAAAGTTAAGAGTGTATCTTTAGCTGACGTTACTAAAAGCTATCTGTGTCAAGCAAACAATGCAATGTAAGTAGTTTTTTGAGTGCGCCAGACAAAAGAAACCATCAGTCCCAGTTTCAGCACATCTATTTGCACACTCCACTTGGCTGCGCAGAAATTAATAAGAAATAGGCAGGAACATATACAATTGAAATGTTTCCAACATTTAGAACTCTTCGACTTATTGTTAGACTGCAACTTCCGGTGCTGGCCAGCATAAAAAGGAAAAACTTACTAGGGCAGATGGGGTAACAGGAGCAGTTGGAGCAGTTGGAGCCTGCAACTGATGTCGCCACTTGTGGGCGGGTGTCGCTGCCAGGACATTGTTGTGCCAGTCAAACAAAACGAAACTTTAATAAAAGCGCTCGCACTCCAGCTCTCCCCGTTGGCACTCCAGTGTCCTTTGTGGCCCAGCAAAAAGGAGTATTAGAAGAAAAGGGCGAGCTGCAACAATGACAATGTCGTGGGCTAAAAAGCATTCGATAGCCGGAGGGCCACGAATGCAAATGCACATCAAATGTGAACAGTGGCCCAGAGGTGGGCGGTGCATGGCTGCCTAGTCGACAGTAATTGCAAGAGGCATCCACGGGCATGGAGCAGGCGAAGGAGCCAGAGGAGCCAAAGGAGCCGCCTGGTCAGGGACTTCCCATCGCTCTCTCTTAACGAGAAAGTATCGAAGAGGTGCGCCGCAGCGGTTCAATGCACGAGCACACTGAGAAAAATGCGCGGCACTTAAATTCGAATTTATTTGTATTTTAAATTGCAATTTTAAGGTGTTAGTAATATGCCACACAGATATATGATTCAGTTTCAGAGAAATTCCTTCTCAACTCAATGTAGAACTATAAACTTTCATACAAATTTCTGTATTTATTATTGCTTTTTTGTGTGCAGCTTACTTCCAAGAGGTCTGAGGATTAGGACCCAGCACTAGACCCAGTTAAATCGAGCAGGGAATACGCGGATGCGGCTGCGAATGGGAATGCGGATCCGGATCCGCAGACCGAGTGCTGGCCACTCCATTTGATGGGGCGGCACTTGAAACAAAAGTCGAGGCGGGGCTGGGCAATTGTGTTTGCTGTTGGTAAAACACACAACGTAATAAAGAAGTATAGGAAGGGCGACCTGGTAAAGGGGCACTGAGAACTCGGAACTGGACGGGCCATAAACCTTTCAGCCATTTGGAAGCACTTGCAACCAGCGCTGGCCACAAAACGCTCCTGCCATTAGCAAATCCTCCACTCCGGGGGCAGCTCCAAACTCAAAAAATAACCATGGCGCAACAAAGTAAAGCACAAAGGACGAAAAACAAAAGGCAAAAAAGCCGAAATGAATAGAGCAAACAAAGAAATACATATGTATAGTTCCCGAAGTTGAAAGTGAAGCAACGTTTTCGGTATACCCTGAATTCTTGATTACAAGAGGTAAGCGTATAATAAGGGATATGATGAGTTATTCGTGTTTAATTAATCTTCTTCAAGTTACTTTTTTGCAAGATTCATTAATATTTGTCGTAATCAAGTGGGATGATATCATAATCATTGTCAATTATAACGGAAGGACTCTACAATACAACACAACATCTTAATTTTATTATTCTTTTTTTTAACCCACTGGATAACTGAAGCATTAATTAACATAATAACTGCAACGTGTACCAAAATACCCCAAAACCAAGAGGGTATAGCCGGAAAGGGGCAAGTTTGTTTGGTGGCCTGGCCATAAAGTGGTCGGGATTAATGGCAAAATGGCGTCAGTTTGTTTTGTGATTTCTCTTTTTTGCGCTTGTTGCTCCCGTTGCATACAAAGCAGCCAAAAAAGGAGCGGCCAGGACATACTGTGTACATAGCCAGGGCCAAAAGGACACTGCAGCCAAAAATAGCCAACTTGGGCATTGGGTGTGTGCGTGTGTGTGTGCATGAGTGTGTGAGTGTTGCGCATACGACACGTGTGCAAATTGTGCCCCAATGTGTCGTTTGTTACGTTTACGTTACTTCCGGTCTGTCGCACGGCGCTAAATATAAATAAAAATGGCCAAGCGGACTTATGATAGTGCATCATCCCTCCCTCCCCTCTCACCACTGCTCATCAGCCAACTTTTTACGCAGCTGCATTTGTGCAGCTTTCATGCAAAGCTTTTGGGTGAATCTGGCATTATTAATTTCGACCATATGCAAGGCAAATTGAAGGTCATTCGTTTGGTTGGACGCTGCGTGTGTGTGGCGCACAGTCGATTGCCAACTGAAGCAATCAGTGCCGAATCTAGGGCCCTCAGAGTCCCATTTGAGTCCCAGTAACAGGCAGCGTCCACAGTCCACAGTCCGCATTCCCAGCTCAGTCCCAAGGCCATTAGGATGGGTGGTTCTCTGGGGGGTGGCTGTACGCACAGTGGACGGCACAGCATTTTTGCAGGTGTCACGTTTTATTTTTAGCACCAGGCTTTGGGAACTGGGTACCTGTGTAGTACGATGTATGTGAGGAGTGTGCGATCTTCTAGCTCATAAGCAGGACATAGCTTCAATATTTAATGCCCAGAATCAGGCTGAATAATTGATGGACACATGTAGAGCCGGAAGGAGTTGTTGGTTTTTGTGTCTGGCGCACGGCAATTAACTTGTTTAAGCCACATGGTAAACATGACAAACACATTTGTCAGAGTCAGTCGTCACTGTCAATGCCAGCGGTTTGATGAATGGATAGATGGTTGGATGGATGGATGGATGGATGGATGGATGGATGGAGCAAATGCTTTCGAGGATTCGGGGATGTCTACACAAAGCGGCTATGCAAACAACACGAGTCGGGAGGATGTGTTTTACCTAGAGCTGATGATTTAAGCCACGAGTATCCTTCCGTTTTTGGGCGCCAAATAGAGAAGCACTTTTGTATACCACATATAATATACGATGTTTCACTTGATTTTCACTGCTTTCGTCACAAAAAACACACAACGAGCGGCGGAATCGGGGTTAAACAAATTGGAAAACAAACGGAGTTCAATAACAATGAGTTACATGCGATTGAAAATTACTTTTTGGTTTTCTTTGTTCTATAGAAGAAGCGCGAATTAAATGTTGCGTCCATCAAGCACGAAGGATAAACTCTTTCTGATTGAAAAGTAAGCGAAATGGGAAAATTCCCTTCAGCTGGCGAGAGCTTTTCCCACCAGAGCTTTCCTCTCTCCGTTGCTCTCAGTTGAGAGAGATTATTATCCTGGTGTGTCAGAATTTGTGCACTGAAATTCCACGGAAAACTGCACAGGAACAAAAAGCAGAGAGCAATGAGAGGTCCAAAAAGAGAGAGAGCAAAGCCGGTGGAAGAAGCCAACTACTGCACCCCCACCCCACACTCTGGCCGCCACCCCAAACCATCCCCCACAGCAGCATCCGCTCTCCTCCTGTCAATATAAACAACCATTTGGGATCTGTTTCCAGCGCTGTGTGAGTGCGCTATATGCTAGATAAACAAAATATTAGGGGTGTATAATGAATGCTTGAGGGTTTTTGGAAGTTGCCCGCTGCTCCACTTGGTGACAAATTGCGCAGATCTAGCCGAAGTGTGAATACGCTTGTGCTTCCATTAAATGCAATGCAATGGAATTTTCTGACTTAGTATAGCTGCATTGCTTAAAGCGAATAAATTATGACACAATTTTTGATGTTACACTTAATGCAATCTATTGGGCATACAGAAAAGGAGAATAATTCAATCTTACATTTAATAATAATATAAATTATGTATAAATCTTGCACTGCAATAAGCTATTGGTAAATAACATAATTATAATTGATTTTAAAAATAAAATAAAAATAACATTTCAAAAAATTTAAACTTTTACTTTAAGATCAATAACTTCGTTGCCCTCCATATCTTGGTTCTTGGGCGTATCCTCCGGATCCAACAATTCACCGTCGAAACTGAAAGCAACTCAAATTCATTGGATTGTCTCTACTTTTCGCAGCTTATAATACTTACAATAATTTAATGAGTCGCGCATCACAGTTCAGCTCTTCAGCACACTTGATATATAACATTTTGAAACTATCCTTTTTCTTCATGGGTATCACCAAAGGATTCTTCCATTTATCCGCCTGGATTTTGACTTGAAACTTTTTAGGTTTCCTGCTAAGAGCTTCTGGATTGTTGCCATCCTTAGCAGCTACACGTTTGTTATTATGGGACTTGGTTGGATGGCCAGCTATTAAAAAAGTGGGTAATTTACAAATAAAACAAGATAGAATGCTATAGTCGAGTTCCCCGACTACCCTCAGATACCCGTTACTCAGCTAGTGGAAGTGCAAACGAGAATCTAGTCTACCCTTTTGCTCTACGAGTAATGGGATTAATTACAAAAAAATCAAATTTAAAATTTTTTCTAAATTTGAATGCAGATTTTTAGAGAATTGGTCGAGAAACATTTAGAGGTATGCCACTTCAAAATCCGATAAAGATTAGTTGAGTTATGGACTTTAGAACTTCAGTCTTGGGACATTTTTGAATATCTACTACATCACAAGATCAGAAAAATTACAAAAAAAATTACAAAAAATGTATAAAAAAAAATAAAAAAAAATAAATTTCCAAATTTGAATGCAGATTTTTAGAGAATTGGTCGAAAAAAATTTAGAGGTATCCCACTTCAAAATCCGATTAAGATTAGTTGAGTTATGGACTTTAGAACTTCAGTCTTGGGGTATTTGTGAATTTCTACTACATCACAAGATCAGAAAAATGACAAAAAATTAAAAAAAAAAAAAAATTTTTAATTTTAATGCAGATTTTTAGAGAATTGCTCCAGAAACATTTAGAGGTATGCCACTTCAAAATCCGATTAAGATAAGTTGAGTTATGGAGTTTAGAACTTCAGCCTTGGGACATTTTTGAATTTCTACTACATCACAAGATCAGAAAAATTACAAAAAATTTACAAAAAAATTAAAAAAAAATTAATTTCTAAATTTGAATGCAGATTTTTAGAGAATTGGTCGAGAAACATTTAGAGGTATGCCACTTCAAAAACCGATTCAGATTAGTTGAGTTATGGACTTTAGAACTTCAGTCTTGGGACATTTTTGAATATATATTACATCGCAAGATCAGAAAAATGACAAAAAAATTTTGGACAAATAAATTTCCAAATTTGAATGCAGATTTTTAGAGAATTGCGCCAGAAACATTTAGAGGTATGCCACTTCAAAATCCGATTAAGATAAGTTATGTTATGGAGTTTAGAAGTTCAGCCTTGGGACATTTTTTAAGTTTTTCGAATTTCTACATCATACATCAGAAAAATTCCAAAAAATTAAAAAAAAAAAATTAATTTTGCAATTTGAATGCAGATTATTAGAGAATTACTCCAGAAACATTTAGAGGTATGCCACTTCAAGTGCGAATTGAATTTCTACATCACATTAAAAAAATTACAAAAAAAGATTGAATGCTATAGTCGAGTTTCCCGACTATCCCGGCTATTACCCGTTACTCAGCTAGTGGAAGTGCGAAAGAGAAATTTTATAATTTTGTGGAATATCTGTCAAAATTGCAAATAAGATTAAGAAATAAAAACAAATAACATTGTTCAAAAGTGTGGGAGTGACAGTTTTGGGCGATTTGCGGGCAGTAGAGTGGGCGTTTCACAACTATTTTTGGCAAATCGATAGAAATTTACAAGACTAATAAAAAAATGAAAAAATATCCGAACATTTTTCAAAAATGTGGATTGGGGAGTTTTGGGCGGTTTGTGGGCGGTAGAATTACTCTACGAGTAATGGATATAAATATTATTATGAACAGAGGACACTTACTGAGCGTATGGAAGGATTTGAGACCAATGCTGTGCGGCGTATCCTCGGGTCCTAGAAAGTTGTAGTACATATCCACCGATATATCGTCCTCATCTACTCCATTGCGTGATGCTACTTCCTTGAACAGATGCTTGAACATTTGATGCTGCCGCAATTTATAAATCTGGATCTCGCCAAGCCTGCGTGTAAAGATTTATATTAATCATGCAATAAGAGAAGTTTAGTATCACTTACCAAGACAAAGCAACTTCTATGGTGGGATTGGCATCATCAAAAATATTTTCTTCCCCTACGGCAGCAGGAGGTTCACCCTCGTCTTCAGAGTCCAGATTAACCTAGGAACATAGTTTATTATTAGCCTTATTGAGTATTATAACTCCTTTGTAGGGACTTACAAAGCCCTCCACTCGCGGAGCCACCGCCGATACCAGATCAATGCTGTCCACCACCTTGGAACGGGCTGCAATTTCGGCCACCGTCCGCCGTTTGTTGATTCTGTTCTGGTTTAAGCTCTACGAATATGTTTAGTAAATACCTAAGATCTCTATAGGAAATTTCTAACTTACAGTCACAATGCTTGCCAATGAGGACACCACCGAAGCCGACACAGTTTCCACGTCGATGGCTGTCGATGATGTGCCCTTTTTTCTGCCGCGCTTTTTTGGTTTCACCTTTGTGGTCACCTCCACAGTGGCTGCCACAGGTGCTGGCGCCATTTCCGCCTTATTTAGCGATGATCGTGTGCGTCTGGCCACAGAACCAATATCATTTTCTTTCGCATGCTTCTGCACATCCGGGATCAACTGGGTAGCGGTATCGTTGGCTTTTCTCTTTTCCATCTCCCATATCAACTGGGATACCGGTGATAGGGAGCGCTCGGTCCTCTCATCATTTTCTGGCTCCACAACCTCTTCTTCTTGTTTTGCCTGTTTTGAAGGCGAAGCGCCATCCCGACTTTCCTGTGGCTTTTCCCGCTTCGCTGCACGGGGCTTGCGTTTGCTGGGTTTATTTGATTTTTTGGTGACGTCTTCAATGAAATCGTAGTCCACCTCCTTGGAGAAGGAATCATTGCTAAGATCGTAAGATTCCTTGGGCAAAGCTGGCAAAAAAGACAAAAAAAGTAAAGGTAAAATACTTGGATTTGTTCAGTTTAAAGCTTACCTTTCACGGGAACCCGCTTGCGAGCAGCACTGAATATATCGCAGTCGTCGTCGGACATTTTGCGCACTCAAAAAACCCACTGATCATCCAAGGTTCTTAAAGCTAAAGGCGCCAAACAATAATTTGCTTAAACCAAAACCAAATAGACGCCAAATGGAATCAGCTGTGGCAAGGACAATCGATAGCCGATAACTATTGTGACCACAGTACAAGACACCACAATCAAAATAATTTTAAAGTAGTAAGACGTAACTAACAAGTAATATTTTGTAATTTTTAGTGTGTTTAGATGATTTGAAAATGTGAATTATGTTTAATAACAAATATCAAAATATAAGCAAATCTTTGTACACGCCTGCTGTGACGTAGGTCAACTCTGGCCGACAGCTGGTTCAGCCAGTGTTGACAAACGCCACGCCGTCAAAAGCAAATCTCATTTAGTTTCCAACGCTGCTGGCCTGGCAAAAGCAAAAGTCAAATAAATTGTTATAAAGGCCCGTAATGCAGTAGAAAATAACTTAAAGCCAATTGCCTCACGACCAGAGGCTCTTCCGCGTGTGTGTGTGTGTGTGTGCACTTGTGCCTGCGCGTGTGTGTGCCCGTGCGTGCGTGTGTTTACCTCGGATTCCCTAAAAAACTGAAAGTGAGAAAGAAAACTGGAAAAGGCGACAAAGTCTGCCTGCGTGCCATTTTTTTTTTCATTTCACTTCATTTCGTGTGGAATAATTTGAGACGACGCAATGGCCTCCACCAGCAATCTAGTGGACGTGGTGCGCCACTACCAGCGCAGCATTGAGAAGCACGGCGAGGATGAACAACGGGTGAGCTATTATTCTCGTTCGCCCCGCATACGCATCCCTTGATCCCCTGCTTACAATGGTCTTTTCATTGAATTCCCTCATTTTTCTACCCATATCACCCCTATATACCTGACCTGGCTGGCTTTCCCTTACTTAACCTTGTGAAATTTGCATACATACATCCGCCAAGGTCACTTTTCGCGACTTTAAGTCGCTCTTCTTTTCCGCTGACCTTTCACTCGCCCACACGTTCTTTGACTAATCGTACTTAATCACCTCTCTCGCTACCTGCTATCCCGCGGAGCAGCTGCTGCACTGCATCACCAAGCTGTTCAACCTGCCGATCAAATTCGAGCACCTGCAGGAAACGGGAATTGGCAAGACGGTGAATGCCCTGCGCAAGATCAGCGGGGAAGTTGGCGTGGCGGCCAAGACGCTGGTAACCAAATGGAAGGCCATGGTGGCGGAGGAGGACCCTTCGATCGCCACAACGCCCACAGCCAGCCACACCGAAGAGGACTCGGGCAAGTCCAAGTCCAGCGATGAGGATCCCGACCAGGAGAACAAGGGCAGCAACTCATCCAGCGGCGAGGACCTAAACACCACCAAGCACAAGACAAAGCATGCCAAGAGCTCCAAGCACGAGCGTAGCGGCAGCAGCCGATCTCACTCCAAGAGCAAGTCTGATTCGGATAAGAAGCACAAGAGCAGTCGCCACGACAAGTCCAAGGATAGGGATAAGGACAGGGAGGGACACAAGGAGGCTAAGGAGCACAGAGAGAAGAAGTCGAATGGCGAGCACAAGTCAAAGGATTCCAGCAAATCCAGTAGCAGTCACAAGAGCAGCAAATCCGAGAGCCACAAGAGCGACCACACCAAAAGCAAACACGAAAAGGTGAGCTTTCCTCCTGATCAAAGCAAGGTTATGGGTTCATACGATATTTTTCAGGACAAGACCTCGCACAGCGAGTCAAAGCCAGACAAGGACAAGTCGAGCAAACACAAGTCATCGTCCTCCAAGTCATCAAAACGCTCCCATAGTCCACAACGCCACGAGGAGGATGCCCAAAAGGCCAAGATACCAAAAGTGAAATCGAAATCTGAGGAAGATTCCGCTGATGGTTTTGACTCCAGCATGGGTGCCAATTTTGACGATGTTCTTGGTCTGCTCAACATGCCCATGAGCAGCAAGAAGATCGGCAGCAACAGCAAGAGCAAGTTTGCCGCCAAGCCAACTACAGCCCCTTCCTCGTCAGCTTTGTCAGCATCCACGACTGCTGGACCATCCAGAGAGGTCTTCTCCGCCAGCAGTCGACCGACCTCCACCAAAGTAATTAGTCCACATTTAATTTTTAGAGTCGTGATAATATGATCATACTTTAGAAACCCGAACTGCTGGCATCCACGGCTAAGCTGGAGCCCCTGGATCCTAACATTGCACTAGAGCTGCCCACCATATCCAATAACTACAAGCCCTTGCCGTTAAATCAGACAGTTATGGACGTCGTCTTTAATCAGGGCGGCTCCCAAAAGGCGCAGGCATCACGTTACTTTAATGAATCAGAAGCTCTAGCGCAGGGCATCTCCTCCAAAACTATGCGGTCAGCTAGGATATATGATAATGCTTTGCACAAAGTATATAAACTTTCTTTACCTATAGCACCAAGATCTATTCGGGCGTGAGAACTGGTCAAATCCTGCAGGTACCTTCCCTCTTTGATCTGTGCACCCGCGTGCTGCAAAAAAATATTGATGGTAAGGACTAACTAAAGGACATACCGAATATAAATAACAATCTTAATCGTTTTTCAGCATTGGAGTACACGGGTGGCGTGCCCTTCGAGGTCCTTCGTCCCGTCTTGGAGCGCGCCACTCCCCAGCAGCTGCTTAACTTCGAGGAGTACAATCCTTACTTGATGGATGACAGTGATGTCCTGTGGCAGCAGCATGTCCAACGTCACTGCCGCAGTCAACGCCGTGAAGAGATGGAAACGTGGCGGGAAATGTTCCTGGTAGAGACGCCATCCGCCCAAGTTAAAGCACCAACTAAGCCGCTGCACAATTTTCCTTCTAGCGCTGCCAAGAGGAGAAGGATCGCAAGCTTAGCATTCTGGCCGAGAGCATCAAGGCATCGCAGAAGATCAGCGAGGCGCCTGTGCGCAAGACACAACTGGCCTTCGTGGACTCAATGGTGAAGCCGCCGCGCAGTGTGCAGCGCAAGCAAGAGCAATATGGCACCAAGGGCAAGCTCATTGCCACCCCAGCCGCCCGAGTGGCCGCCTTGTCCAGCGTGACTCCAAATGCAGCCAAGGTGGGCGATGCCCGACTACGTGTGCTGGCCGCTACCCGGGACACGGCCCAAGTGGGTAAGTATTGTAAGTAAAGTGCTTCAGATGGATATTTACGTATCATTCATTATTGCAAAGGAGCTGGTCCGGCGCGATCCAAGAAGGCGCCTCTAATGGCGAAGACCTTGCAGTTTATGCGCGGACGTCTTAAACGATAGATGCGTTTACACCTTTTAGCTACAATCTTATACTCAACTTATTCAGCGACAACTTAAGCGGCAGCAGTAGCAGCAAACTTGATCTATAAGGCATTCACAGTGGGATTATCTCCCAACTTAATTGGCAAGGACTTTTGGTTCTGCATAACAAGCACTGTGATACTAGAACTTCTGCTACCCAGTGTGCTGTGGAATGCAACTGCTGCTGTCGACATGCGTACCATATGCATGCTATTTATTATTTATTCATATTTTGCCCACTTTCATTACGCTGTATAAGTAACTATATGTAAGCCAACCGGATAAAGATTACGTATTTGTTGCATCCCGCTGGGTCGTAGACAAGCTCATTTAAATAAGTTATGAAATTTGATTATACATAGTTGTTCAATTGATTCATTGCATGTAACTTACGATCACAACGCTGCTGATCACTCCAACATTATTTAAAATTAAGTTCAATGTTCTTTGTCCAAAAGGGCTGTGTGTATGTCCAAAATCATAGAGGTTCCAAGCTAAATAATTGTATATAAATGTATGTTACACAATCCTAAACCTATATGGAACTACCTAAATTAGTGAAGAACAGTTAAATGTCTTTAAATGCATCGCTAATTAAATCCAATCGAAAAGTTCTATATTTATTTTGATACTTTTAGATTTATTTAGTTATGCAACTTTATAGTTTTGGGTGAAATGTTCATATTATGTTAAGAAAAAAAAATTACTTTAACTGCACCATCATATTTGTTATAATTCTAGAATACTAGGTAAAATACAAAATTGAAATTCGATTACTCTGGACTGTAATGCTCGTCTTATTTTTAATATTTACACATTTTTTAATTTTATGAAAATAGGTCACTTATTACTTATGCCATGTCTTCGTTTTGAAAGAAATTTCTTTAGCTGTGACCTTTTAGCTGTAGGCGATGTAGTTAGAGGCATTACACTGTAACCAACTCGTTTTATTCCACTAGAAAGCTAACAGAAAGAAAACGACATAGCTTTCAAGGATCAATCTTGTTTAACGACATCACGGATTGTTGTATCGAGAGAATTATTCATATAAAGAGTTGTTTCACACGGTAGTAACAATAATATTATACAGACTTATTACAAATAAATTATTTTCAAACATAAGTCATTAGAAAGTCAAAGTTCGGTCTGCATCTCTACCCGATTTCTTCAGGTGCCAATGCAGTAAAGCGTCTTGCTCGTCCCGTAGAAAACATCGACCAAGCGCTGGCAGGAACTATTGAGAGTAAGCACACGATTCGTTGTAGCCGATGACGAGCTTCCAGCACTACTGTTGTCGCTGTGGAGCAGCCGAAATAAATCATAAATAATTACAAATCGCCACGTTTCTTGTTCACAAATAACTTACCTCATGGGCGACAGTTTCTTGATGTCCCACAATCGCAAGGTACCGTCGTTGCAGGCTGTGGCCAGGTGGCTATTGTGCGTGCTCCAGGAGAGAGAACTAATGCTCGCCGAGTGATCCTTGAGCTCAGCCAGCTGTGCTCCGGCGGCCAAGTCGAATATCCGCACCTTCGTTTCCTCTCCGGCGGCGGCCAACATCTTTCCATCTGGGCTAAAGGCCAGCTGGGTCACCGCCTGACGGCAGTCGGCGAAGACACGCATCAGTTTTCCGCTGGTTGCGCACCATAGGCGGACGGAGTGATCTGCCGAACCAGTGGCTATATAGTTGCCATTCGGATGGAACGCAACGCACTGTCAACCAAGTAGATATAAGCAAAAGTTCTAAGGCGTTTTAGGTTAAACGACCAACCTCAACATCCTGCGTGTGGCCAGCATAAATGATGAGCGCATGTTCCTTCTCCAGCGACCAGAGGCGCGCGCTCAAATCCTTGGAGCCCGTTACCACGTATTGGCCCACTGGACTCTCGTCCAGGCACCAAATCGGGTAGTTGTGACTTCTGTATATGGCGGCGCAGTGCAGGTTGTGGGCGTGCCAGCAGCGCATGGTGGCGTCTTTGGACACACTGTACATGAGTGGGTAGTGGGCGGAGAAGCGCACACCGGTGACTCCTCTTGTGTGACCACGCAGCTGCAATCCGCCGTACTCGTTGCTAATTAAAATAAAATTTGGTTAATTAAAAAGTGCAAATTGAAACCAATACTGAACCTGGACGATTAACTTACTAGGAGTTATCAGCATATTTGCACATATTCGCCCTGTTGCGTTTCCTTCTCTCCTCCTCAGAGCACTTGGCATCCTCATCGCTGCTGTCCTCCTCCGTCTCCGCTTCCTGATTCACGCAGTTGTTCAGCTCCCAGGGACACTGCATTTGCGGATAGCGTCTGTACAGGCTCTTGCCGCGGCAATTGCTCTGGTTAAGCTGCCACAGCTGCACGGCAGAATTGTCGAAGCCCGCTAACAGGTGGCACTCACTGGGATCCAGGTGGGCGGAGTTGAGGCCCCGAGAACGTTCACTGATTCTGAGAAATCGCGGCAACTCCACTTGCGATATGAGTATCTGTTCAGTGGCCGATTTAAGGGTGTCCATGCAGGCGTCTATGTTCAATTGTAACTTGCTAGGCTCCGCAGATTCATCCAGATCTATCTCCTGTTTGATGTCTGTTTCTAGCTTAATGCTTGGCTCCTCAGCGGGCCGTTTTCGATTTGACTTCTCAATCACTGATTTGCTTGGTTTTATGTCTCCGCGGGCTACAGCTGGTTTGGAAACAACATCGTCCTCTGCATCCTCACCTTCCAGTTCGTCCGTCAAGCCAAGCAGGTGATCCTCACTAAAGGCGCGCTGCTCGTTCTCCACTATATGGACGTGCAGCCAAGTGTAGAGTAGGTTCATAATTAAAACGTGGCCCCGCCGCTGGAGATAAGCGCATATCCTATCCACAACTACAGCTGTGGTATGTAGTTCGTACTTCGAAGATCGAAAATGGGCCACTGTGTCGTCCGATTCTGCCGCCTCCAGCCGTGTGTAGCCACTCAGGATCTGCACCAGCCGCATGAAGTAGTCCAGTTCCGTGTCCCCGGTGTCCTGGGCTTCCTTAGCGAAGCGTATGTTGAATGTGGACTCATTGGCCGTAGTGGAGCAGCCGTTTATCTTGGTGGGTGGTGGTGCATCGTACACATCCACGGGTGCCACCAAGTGGGCATATTTACGCAACAACTCCACAGCGCCACGCGGTTCGCGAGCCTTGAGCAGATCCAGATACAAGTGGCACAGCATGGGTCCATAAAAGCGCTTCATCTCCAGACGCAGCGGCTCGGCCTGGGCCTCCACAAACTGCGAAAACCGCGAAAACTGCTGGTCCACGGTGTGCTGATTGTTGGTGATAACCTGGACATTTGAGAAGGTGAAGCTATTGCCGCCGTGCAAGTCCGTGTCCAGCATTTTGTTTACGGCAAACTGCTGCTTGTTTTGCAGCAACAGAAGCTCCGAGCGCCGAAATCGTTCGTTGCTCTACGGGTCGGAATATTTAGGCACTCTGTGGAATTTGATGTTTGGATGGGTATCCATCACTTACCACGTAGTTTTTCTGCTTTAGCACAAGGCCCACGGCGCAGCGTAGCAAATCGTTTTTGGAGGAGGTCTTTTTGCCGCTCGCACTCGACTTGTTGTTGTTGCTGTTGCTGGTACTGGTGCTGTTACTGTAGACGGGCGACGCAGCATGGGCGTGGCTGCTGGCGCTGGGCAGGCTCATCGTTGCGTGTTATCCTCGCTGAAACACGTCTTTGTATCCGTATCCTGATCCCGTCCTGCTGTGCGTCCGATAAGCGTTCGATTACAGTGCTGACAGCGGAGATGGGTTGCGCTATCGATATGCCTTAATCGATTTCAGGCGGCTGCAACAGCTGTTTTTCTCAAATTTGTTTTCCTCAGTGCTGGCCATATGGCTATTCTTTCAGCTATCAATTTTATAACACTATTGTTATTGCCATATATTCATTTTTATTTTTATTTACATATAAATTAGTTTACCTTTAAATAAGCCACAATAGAGTCGCCTGATGTATAAAGTTTTTTTTTTGGCTTTTTTTAGCTTTATTCTTCGACTTGAAAAAGATAGCTAGTTTATTTGCCTTTTGCCATCACTGATGAAAGTCAGCTGTTTGTGTTGTTGGATTTCCGAGCGCGCTCGACAATTTCTTGTGTTTTCGCTGCGGTATCTCAGTTCGCGTTTTTGCCTGATATAAAACAGTACCTGATCTTGAAAAACGAGTCATCATGGGCAGCACGACAAAGTTTGTGAACGAATTCTGTGATATTATCGATTCCTATGGCGGGCGAGATAAGGTAACATAGGTGGGCGGAAACAACGCCCGCACTGCCGAGTAAATTTCCAATTAATTGGCCACACACCTGTTTGTTTACATTTTCAAGCAAGTGTTTTCAGCAAAATTTTAAAAAAGGCATCGTGGCATATTGAAGGCTTTCTATGTATTTCCGTTTGGTCCATTGAGGGGCTCGATTGAAATCGAAACTGAACCAACAGGTTTTCACGTTGTTGTTGCATCGAAGTTGGCATTGGTCGCGGTTGGCGGTCTCGAACAAGGAAGCCACCGCAGCTTGGACCTTGCCTTACTTCTTTCGTATGCGCAATGGATTATGTATTTCGCTTTCCGCTTATCAGTCGCAGTTCGGCGGCGATCGAGTCAAGATAATGCTCAATACTATAGCCGGCAAACCCTTAACCCGCTGCCAGATAAAGAGGATAATTCGTTATGAGCGAAAGGTTTGTTTGGGCTGGAAACACGCGATCTACCCATTGCCACCGCCGCCAGTTGTGATACCCTTTCAAGGAGTATATAAAGTTCAGGGAAAATAGAAATCTTAATTGGTGTATATTCTTGTATCTAAAAGAGAGATCGAACCTTTGTTTAATGGTAGAGTAGTTATTAGTTTATATTTGAGATTTATTAGAAAACATATTCAATATATTATGTGCCTGTAGGGAAATCAGGAATTCTCCCACTTCTGAATAGTGGCATTAGTGTTCCTCCTAATTGCATAATTAATTCATTGATGGCAAAGCAAGCAAACTGAACCAATAAAGGGCAAACAATGACCCATTCCTGCGACAGGACGAGCAGAAGCACTCCACTGGCGGCCATCGAACGAGATGATTGTGGCATTCGTTGTGTTCCTTTTATCGCTGATAGTATTTTATCTGTTTGTCACAACCAAGCAATTCCACAAATTGCAGGGCTGACTGGCGATTGGGGTCAGGTAGACACAAAGGTAAACAGCGATGCCAACTCTCGTGATGAAGTAAACATACGGCTTAGCAAATTGCGCAGAAGAATTCGTACATATATGAAATTAAATACCTATTTCAGGTGATGAAGGCATTGTGCTACAGTGCCAAGCTGGTGGCTGGCTACCATGCCAAGCGGAATCCCGATCTCGCCAAGCGATACGCCACCGCTAGCTCCAGGATCTCTGGTGCGAGAGCCACCCTGCGCCTCATCGACGACATACCCATGATCCAATATGCCTTGGAGTACGGCTTGGGCGAGAACGAACCCGATCGCGTGATGCAAGTGCTGGGCGTGACGGCCAACATCGTCGATTTGCTCTACTATCCCATCGAGAAGGTCTGTTGGCTGGCCGAGCACAAGATTGTGGATGTCAAGAATGCGGATAACTGGGACAATGTCAACTCCATATTCTGGGTTCTTTCGGTGTACCTAAACCTGATGAGGTAAGAAGTAACCCGCTTCTTCAAACACAGTTTCAAATGTTATCTTTTAGGACAATGCGGAATTTTTCATTGAATCAGGAGAAACTGAACCGAACCAAAAATATAAACGAGTAAGTCGTCAACTGAAGATTACGACTTTCAGCAATCAAAACTAACAACGCTCGCAATTCCATAGATTGGACGTGAAAACGTTGACCAAGCACCGCCTGGAAATGGTGTCCATCGTCCGGATCTCCCTCGACTTTGTGCACGCGGTCAGTACGCTGCCCAAGGGATATTTGTGGGGCGGCAAGCTGTCCACCCTGCAGGTGGGGGCCATTGGCACCTTATCCGCTGGCCTGGGCATCTACCAGATCTTTGCCAAGAGAAGACTGAACAAGTAGTCGATGCGCCCTCGTATTTGCAATCCGTGTACTCGTATTTGTTGAACAGAATTTTAAGCTAGTCGATAATCGTTTTTGTACGGCACTCGCAAGTGTGTTTAGCCAGTAAGTCCTTTAAAGAAGCACAAAATACACGCTGAATAATGGTAAAACAGGAGTTTTTGGTCTGTGTGTCCTTTATTATCTGTTACTTCTTTTATTGTGTGTGTTGTTAGATTCCCATACATGTATGTCAGTTTGTGTATTGTTAATTTCCCTTCGTAGCCAGCAGAATGTTTAACTTAATGTACAGGCTCCCACTCCTTTATATTGTCAGCCCTCTGGCGAGGGTTCATTACCAGAGTTATTCGTATTATTTGTCGTTCACACGAACGATTTGTTATTTGTTGTCGGTTTTAGCAGTCATTGTATACAATGTGTCTTAGGCATATTTAAAATACTCATATGTCTGATATTATACTCGTTATGCATGGTTTCAGTTTAAATACTTGGATTTATAGATTACATGAGGGACCGGGGATCAGTTGCTCGGTTTGGTTAAAAATAACATTTGTTAGTAAATATATTTTCATTGTACATAGTTTATTTGCTTGTTTGTGTCGCAAGCGCATAAGTATTAACAATTACTAGTTATTATCATTTTTAGTTTGCTCTGCTTGACTGCTTCCATTGGTAAGCTCTTTAGATGTACGAAGTATGAATGAAGTGGTGTTTATCATTTTATTTTAGCCTTTATGTTTGCTCTTTATGTAACGGGGTTCATTAAAATTCTTGTTATTTTGATATAGATATTTTTTTGGGATTTTATTAATTTTCGATAATATACCTAGCTACATGAGTTATATACTTTTGTTATTGTTATTAGTATCATTGGATATTCGATCGAAGCCCTTCGCTTCACTTACAAAAAAAAAGCCTCAAAAAGTTCCCAAAAAGAGTTCATGCACTCAAAATATGTTCAACTTTGTTCCATTTGCTTTTATAGTTGTGTATCTGTATTTCTTTATAACCATAATGCAATTTGAACTCTTGCTCATAACAATATATAATAATTATTTAGTACATAAATAGGTATATATTCATATTTGTATGTATTTATATTGCATGAACAGTGGCCAAAGTTATTGGTTGGACTCCCCAATGTTTGTTCCAACTCTTGTCTACAGCAAAAGCTGTACGATCTTCCAAGTTGGGGATACTGTATATGCGGTAATCCCTCCATATGGAGTACGGTCTGCCCATAGAGAAGAAGTCAGGACTTTTTGGGAGCCGCCAAAGTCTAAGGACCAACTGTATTAGGTATTTATGTACCAATTTACGTCTTGCATTATATATTTATGTATATATTTATTCTTATCGGAAGCTATTTAAAATGGCACTGCAGTAATTTTTGTTTATATTCCTATATAAGGTGGGAAAATCAATTAGTCGGACCACCGCCAAAAGCCCCTTATATTGGGTGAAAGGACGATGGTCGTTACTAAATATTCTTCTAAATATCCTTTCCTCTCATCCTCTGCTATAACAGTATACGAATTCGGGGCTCTTAACTCAATTTGGTTGCCCCGCAAGTAATTATTAAAATATATTTATATGTACGTGTATGTATATAGTATATGTGGTATTTGATTATTGCATTAAAAGCTTAGTATTCCGTTCTGAATTAATATTACATATTCATTGGTGTATATATATATATTTATATATATATGTTGTATAATAGTCTTTTTAAAAACCGTTCTTATTGCATTCTTATCCTTACTCACTAGGTTTGGTTTTCGCTTAATTTTAACATACTTGCCGGGCAAATATTGTTGCATTAAAATTCAATTTGCAAAGTTCTTGCTAATGTTCCCCCAAAATGTGTCTCACATGTTCGCTTGTGTCTTTGAATACAGTTGACAGTACATCAGTAATACGATAGTAAAAATATCTGGTATAGGGTTTCGAATACGAGTAGTATGGTTTAGAGTTTAGAGTACAGAATAGGTTAGTTAATGCGTGCTAGAGATATCGGCATAAGTAAAGATATTTCATCGATAGAACTTCCTCATTGATTTGCACCTTAGCTGACTTTAAAAATAATTACTCTGTATAGTGTAGAATTGCTTAAAAGTAGACGTATGGATAATCAGATGACTTGCGTCAGTAAAATATGTTTTATTTTTGAAATATATGTATTTGGATTTGGATTGTTAATTATTTATATATTGTTACCTAAATTACGCTTTGCATATTTTCTTAATGTTCAATTTTTGTTTTTACTTTGCTAAAATTTAATATTATCGGTTTTGCGTGGGAAGCGTTCGATTTTGGTTCCTTTACATTTCGTTTAAACTTTATTTTCTTGTGTCTTCACATATTGGTTTTAATCTTTGATACATTTGTTTAATCTCCCTAACCTGCTCTTCAGTTTTAGTTTATTTCGATAGGACAAAAAATGTAATTTTAAATAAATGGAAAAGCCAGTATGGAAAAGTTTAAAACTGTTTGCTTGACACATGCTTGTGTTAATTTAAAATTCACGTTATCCTTGGCTCTTAAGCTTGTAAAAGCGTTAAAAACGTTAAAGTAAAACTGTGTAACATACGATCGAGATTGGGTCGCCAATTAATTCTTGCCGAAATAGCCTTAAAAAGTTCCATTTAAAAGTCGCCCTGTTTTGGGCGTATCTTCATTGTTCTTCCTTTGGTTAATAAAAATATGGTAAATTTTATAGTTATTTAAAATTGTTTCACGAATATGTACGCGTGTGTGTGTGTGTATATTTGTGTGCTAGTGTTTGGTATTTTAGTGTATGTGTATTTGAAATGTTAGCATGATTTTTGCGAGCTAAAAACACTTTGTATCCAATAGGCTTCGGCTTGAAACGTTTTGCTGGTTTTATCAATAAAATAATGTTACTGTTTTATCAACACCCAAACACCCACCTAATAAAGATTAGGGCTAAAAAATGTGAATCTATCCAATGAGTGAAGTGAAATAAGGTCTTGTATTTGCATTTGCAGTTGGAGCATTTATGTTTCCCTATCAAGGTAAGTCTTACGATTACTAATAATTCAGCTAAAGCACCATTTTATCTGTATATCTATACAGCTTTTCTAGCTTAGGTTAAGGTATACCCCATTCCCACACATTCATAACTTTGTCTTTAAAATATATATGTGGGTCATATTCGGGGCCTGTGGAGTCTTAGTGTTGATCCGTAATGCCACGTGACCCCTGATATCCATTTACAATCTATGATCTATACTTATTTCCAGGCTGGTTTCGCTTGGTAGAGGCAAAGGATGTGGAATATACAGTACATACATTGCGTTAAAAGTAGTCAATAAGCTTTTTGATTTGTGGTTGGCATTAAAGCGATTTAAGTGGGTGATTTGCTTGGGTTCTCCTCTCTCTCCTCTCACCTAATCGAAGGCAATATGTATGTGAGTATAGCTAGGTAAATGGTAAATGGTAAATGGTTAGTAACAATGCACTTGTCCAGCACTTGTGGGTTTTTAGGTTTATTGCTACTTATACACCGGCCAGCTGCTGGCCAGAGTCTCCCGCGGATCCTCTGACCTGGCCAAAAGAAAACTAAGCTAGGTAGGCGCTACAACAGAAACCGTTACACTAAGAGGCATCCATGTTTACCCTAGACCCGCAATCCCTCCTCCACAGTTCACGTATTGGTTAATTAAAAATTGCTTATTCTCGCAAATCTATATCCATCAATAACTAAACAAATTCAACTAGTCTGCTGCTGTTTAGCCCTCTGCTAACACTCGCTTCCCTCAATTATTGTTATAATTACTACTTGGTTTCATATTTGATTCTTTCGAAGACTACCATAAAATCCCTGTAGGTTCATCGTAATGCCTGTGTGAGTGTGTGATGTTTGAGATAATGCTAAAAACAATTTATGCCTAGAGAGTAGTAATGCGTTAAAATGTCACTTAACACCCGCAGCGTTAGTTTCGTAAAGTCTGAACTACTCGATTACATTGGTTGCTTTTGGTTTTTGGAGTATTTCAGTTGCTTGGTAAAGTAATTTGATTGTTTTTATGCTTAAATTCGTTTGAATTTAACTTTTGATATTCGACTAAGTATCTTAACTTCGTTTAATTCTTATGATTAACAATTAGCATGGGAAGCGCAGGTTAGTGTTTAGTTGGGTTAAGCTTGGATTAAGAAATGCCAAATGAAACCAAGGCGAATTCAATAGCGATTTTGTATATTTGTTTGGTTGGGTGAATACGTGTTTGCGTTATTTATCGTTTAGTGATCAATTCGCGTTTAAGGTATAGACTTAGGTAATTGATTTTCCTATTCTCTGTATAGGTAGGTTTACAAACTTATAAACTTTTAAATTATATAAAGCCTTGTAATGTACAATGTGTAATATTTTTGTATACATACATTTGTGTGTTTTCTATAGATAAGCGCTGGAGAGATCCTTTCTCAAAATACATGAAAAATAATGTAGACATAAATTATATGCTTATTGCCGATGAGCTCTAAAACTGGAACAGCCAAAAAAGCCAAAGAATGATAAATGCTTAAAACAAAGTTCAACAATCAATCAGGCATCGCGTTAATGTTCACAAGGATAATGCTTAAAGCTAATCCAAAACAAAAAAATAACTAAACATTATATATATAATAACTCAGGTGTGTAAATAACAATTCAATGAGTAACAAAAATGGGGGACTGGTGAGTTAAACGAATTTACAATTTTTAAAATGCTTTCTTAAAAATTGAAATTCCCTGATAAACGCTTAACGGACAATCCAAATAATATAATATCATATTAACTCGAGTCGGGGGCTTGGCTATGTAAAAAGAAACTACATAAAATTCCTCAGTAATAGCGCAAAACATAACAAAAAATTGTGATTCTAACCTCGCAGCGCGGAAAATTGGTCGAGATACCTTCAAGTTCAATAGCCATTTGCCGCGCGGTTTCGTTCCCTTAAAATTAGACATATACAAATTAGGAATTAATAACTGCTTTCTTAGCCAAAAAGTAACTTGAGTAGTATTTGTATGAGGGGTGTGGGTAAATGAAATTGCTCATTTCATGTATCATTCGTTTAGCATTCGAATGCCAGCTCCAAATGCTGATATGTAAGCATGATTATCAAAAAATATTATGAATGGGGGGTCTTTTG